GATTTGATAACATCATGTCTACAAAGATGCCTTCATCTGGTATTTTCTTGAGGGCAGTGGAGATGTAAAGGTCTGCTACCCAATTTGAGCCCCATGGAACCCAGAAAACTGTTGGATTGGATATTTTTTTTAAACTTTGGTTTCAAGTTTATATATATATATATAATTACTGGTATTTTCTTATTTATTTTAATATTTTGAATATTATTCTTTTTGAAGTTTAAGCTCTGCAAGAGTTTTGATTGAATGTTTTTGAAAGAAAGACTGCTTTTATTTGATTAAAATAATATTATTAAAATATTTAAATTATAATTGTAATAATATTATTGTGCAATATTGTAATATATTTTAAAATGTTTGATTTATTCCTACATTGCAAAGCTGAATTTTCAGCATCATTATTCCAGAAAGAAAGAATAAAAATGGTGTTTGAAGTACTATACGTCAGTATTTCTTATTTATGATTCCATTTTTGCCAAAAACTAAGCATTGTACTCATTAAATATTTAGTTGGTTTTGTCTAAAAAATTTTTTTTTCTTTTTAGATAATGAGACATGACATTATGGGACCTTGGAAGCCAATCTGAAGCCATGGAATGTACCTTCAGAGAAGAAAGTACTTCCTCAAAATGTACTCAAGTACTAAAAATAACTTTCACGATATAAAAATGTTACAATATCAAAAACATAAAATCCATTTATTCAGTAGTTTGCATTTATTTTCCTAGCTTTTATTTCAAATTTCTAAATGATAGAATTTTTTTTCTTATTTATTATTTACAGTTTTAAAATGGCTTTGTGCCATCCAGCAACTAAACGCATAGCCAAAATTAATAAAATCACAAGGCAGTTCCTGAAAAGTAGAGTTGTAATTCCAACTTTATATTTAAGACATTTACAGAACCCTCAAACACATATTCTATAACCTATGTTGGATGTCATGAATATTGAAAGTCCAACAGGCAGATTACATTGCAAAGCTATAAGCAAATGTTCAGGTTACAAGTCTATTATCTTTAATAATGTGGAAAGCCAATGTATATGTTCAGTACTTATGTTTCATGATGAGGAATCTGTGAAATGCAGTACAGGGGCGTTACATAGTGATCTCAGTTTTCAGATATTTGCATCTGGACAGACATTGAAACCTACATTATCAGTGTATTGAGAGGTTCAAAAACATAAATGTTTTTACAAATGCACAACTTCAGACACATAGAAATCTTTACAGCAGTGGAACTGCCAAAATCTTTGCAAGAGGTACTCCACACGTGAATGACGCATTTATTTATAAATGCCTTCCAGATGGGACAGTGCACTCGTTAAATGGCTAAATTTCATTGTCATCAAAGCTCAACAAGAATAAAATTAGATTTCTCTGTATATATTTTGTGCATACAAAAATAAAACTATTGTGACCAGTCTTTATACTTTACACAAAAACATAAAAAAGCCTTTCTAATGTTAAACTGTTAAATACATTTAATGACATTAAACATTAAAACAAATGTATAAATGTCAAACAAACTTGCAAACTTTCATGCCTCTCTAAAGATGCTAAAGATCTCACTGAACATTAAGAAAAGTTAAAGCGATTTTATTTTATTGAATAATCATGCATCAGACCCATAGATTCATTAATACACATCGTATCTGTGCTTCATGCGTTCAGCACCAACAAGTTTTCTCACGAATTTTCAGAAAATGTTGGGTTTTGAACTGTGGTTGTAGCATTCTGGAATAACGGGTTGGTACCCTATAGAAGGAGAAGAAAACATAATGTGCTCAAGCATAAATACTGAACAGTTCTAGGCAGATTGACTGAATATGAAGGGTACGTTTTTTTTGTTTAAAGAAAACAGAACTTACAGATGTTTTTTCATGTTTTCTGTCTTTTTCAAATCTCTTCCATTCTCTAAGGTCACTTGCATACAGAACTGCCTTGATGATGAGGAGGACCAGGAGACCAATCAGTGCCACAGCTGCCAGAGATCCTCCTACGATGGCTGCTATGTTTGGCCCCTCAGGACATTCTAACACAAGAAACGTAAAGGTAGAAAACTTGATGCTTTTTAAAACTGGAACATTTGTCCAAAACAGAACATTCTGGCATGAATTACTCACCCTCATGTTGTTGCAAACCTCTATACTGTTATTTATGCTGCCTATCTCCACAAAAGATTGAAAATCATCATGAAAAAATCCTTATGACTACTTTTGAAGCTTTTTGTCACTATAAACTACTGTATTGTTGTGGAGAAAGAGAAAGAGAATAAAGATTCTTCAGAAATTCTCATAACAGCAGGGTTCAGAATGACATGAGGGTGAACAGTGACAGATCCCAAGTAACTAGTACATGATTTAGTATTTCAGATAGTGTGTCTGGGTCTACCTCTGTCTTTGAGAACACTGACAAAGTACTTGTCAAATCCAAGCTGTTCCGTCATTGTAAATGACATCCAGCAGCCCTCTTTGTCTTTGACTCGACAGTCGCTCTTGAGCAATTTTTCAACCGTCGTATGTTGCAAATGTGTACAGGCTACAGTGCAGTTCTTCTCAAATGGACCGGTCCCAAAGGCCAAACATTCAACACAACTCCTGCAGCAGGTCAAGAATGTTTTAGTAATTTTTAAATATATATAAAAATATAAAACATTTAATTTATCAATTTTATTTTTATATTTTTAGTCAGCGGCTATTTGCACTAAGTGAAAATAGTATTTTATTAGCGATATACTATTTAAACTAAGTGCAAACAGCGATATATTCTATTTCCTTTATCTAAAAATAGTATTTTCTGACAGATATTTGCACCTCAGTATTGTAGTACATCATAAAACAGTATGCAATTGTAACGTATTGAGTGTATATGATCATTTTTATTAAAATTATTAAATGGATGCCGCCTTATTGGGACAATAAAGCCCTTCCTTCACCTACCGCTAACCCTAACCCTAACCGATAAACACCGGTGAGGCACTTTATTTTATACTTTTTGATTATTTCCTTCATTTTATTGAAAATAAATGCCTTTCTATTCTGATATGTGATGTGAAAAGGGAGAAGAATGAATTTGGCAAAAGGCAGATTCAAACTCTGGTCGATCGTGTCAATAAGTTATTGCAATGAGTTTTATCACACTTCGCCACTGGAGCCATTGTTCAGCAGGCGCTTTTTGTAATGTTGTCTAGCCCAACCACACGTTCGTGGGTGAAGTTAGTGTAAATAGCCTCTGCCAACAAAACAGGCTATTTGCATTTAGTGTAAATAGACACTTTTATTTTTTTATTATTACATTTATGTATATTATTTATATATTACAACAAGTAACAAATACATTTCCATTAAATCCATAAAACATCCTAATTTATATAACCGAGAATATGTGAAATGCCTTGCAGGAATGCCTTTAATGGCTCATTAGAAAACTGTCCTTATGAACTGATTCTCATGATTTCTGTAAGTTAGTAGTTGTAGTTAAATCCTCTAATTGGGCTTATGAAATAAAAAATATGTATTTAGTTGTATTAATAATTGTTATTAACATGGCAGCTTTGTAGAGCACATGGTGACTTGTTCTGAGGTTTTATTACCCTGACTCTTGACACGGGCGTTGGCAAGTAGGACACATTTTGCAGTAGGGCCCCTTGTATCCTCTCTCACATTCACACTGGTTACATACACATTTCCCACGGTTATGACAAACACTTTCATCGATCTTGCAATCCTCATCGGATTTTGCGCAGTGACACGCTGTGCCCTCGTAGCCCTGATCGCACTCACATTTTCCACATTTGCACTTGCCATGACCTGTAAATTGAAACCACATTACACTTAAGAACTGATTTTTAAAAATAAACCATGAAGCACGTCAAATATGAGCTTTTCTACACAAATCACCTGCACACTGTTTATTGTCAAATTTTTCACAGTGTTCATCGTCGCATTCACAGAATTCGCCATAGAAATTTCCACCGCCATCTGTAGAATGGCACTGACACCGTCCACACAGACAATCTCCTTTGCCTTCGCATTCGGTCCCGTTGTTCTTCCGGCACTGCGCTTTCAGTGACGCCTCGTCTTTTTGGCCTAGTTTGCACTCACAGCGCTGTCCTAAGAAACCCGGATCACACCTGTGGACATGAGGAAGTTGCTTATGTCACTACAGATATATAAATATACTCCTGCAATAGGTCAAGAATGTTTTAATAACATTTAATTTTTAAACACATAGTAAAATATAAAACACCTTATTTAATATCTAGATGTTTTTATATTTTATATTACGGAGTGTCTATTTACACCAATATATTGATAGATTGCTTGTTAAACATGAACAATGAATTGTGTGTGTGTGTATATATATATATATATATATCAAATAAAAGTTTTGGTTTACATAATGTATATATGTGTGCTGTATATATTTATTATGTATATATAAATACACACACGTATGTATATATTTCAGAAAAATAGGTTATGTTTATATATTATATACATTTATTTATAATATAAATAATATCAATATAAATATAGACATGTAAATACATGTAAATATTTGTAAAATATATACTTTACATGTGTGTATTTTATATATACATAATAAATATACTCAGAAAACACACATATATTATGCAAACAAAAACTTTTATTTTGGATTCGATTAATCGCGATTAATTGTTTGACAGAACTAATATATATATATACACACACACACACACACACACACACACACACACACACATAATTATAAAGAGAAAAAGAATGATTTAAAATCTAATAAGATTCACCATTAAGACTTAATTAATTTAAGAAAAATAATCAATTATTTGGATGAAAAATATAATTTCTTGTTTTTAGGTATTTATTTTTATAGCTAAAAATGAAATAAGCTTGACCTAGGGAATTTAGGATGAAAAAGAAAGCAATTAGAGGTAATTTTGTTCTGTTACCTGCAGCCGCCACAGACGACTTTACCATTTCCCCCACAGTGAGGATGGGGTTGTTTGGAATCATCACATTCACACTCGCACCGAGTCTGCACGTTCACCTTCAGTTTTTCACTAAAGCCCAATGGCCCGATGAGGAAGCTCTGACTGGTAATGCATCTGTCTACTGTTACTGTCACATTAAAAATCACCTGAAAGGATTATGGTAAGAGTAAGTTTATTTACAAAGTCGTATAATATTGCCTTTGCTAAAATTGCTAAAATGATAAACCAAGATTTGCATCTGCACTTGCATAGATGATCTTTATGATAATTTGAACTAATCTTACTCACCTCCTTGCCAATGTTCACATTATCACATTTCCCCTTGTCACTGGGTTTTTCTCTGCCTGTACAGTCCGATTTGTATTTCACAGATATGAAGTCTGGGAGAGATTCATGAGCCAAGATCACTTCAGAGGTCAAGTTCTGTTCCATCCCCATAGGACATTAATAAGGTGTTAAACATAGAATATCACAATGTTTTACTTTTAAAAAAAAAGGTTTGTGCAAAGTGGAAATCCCATGCACTCACGTTGTATGCATCCACAATTAGTTTAACAACGTTGCTCGAGTCTTCAGAGAGCACTCCAACTGCAGATTTAGGGATCATTTTGCTCAGCTCCTGTTAAGGATACAAGTCAAGTACACCATAGTACTTCAACTACTAAGAATATTAACGTCACAGCCATATCACCCTGCAGCCCAAGACTGGTTGCCCACTGAAGCTAAGCAGGGTTAAGCCTGGTCAGTACCTGGATGGGAGACCTCCTGGGTAAACTAGGTTGCTGTTGGAAGAGGTGTTAGTGAGACCAGCAGGGGGTGCTCACCCTGTGGTCTGTGTGGGTCCTAACGCCCCAGTATAGTGTCCCCATCATTATACTGTAAAAAAGCACTATCCTTCGGATGAGACGTTAAACCGAAGTCCTGACTCTCTGTGGTCATTAAAAATCCCATGGCACTTCTCGTAAAGAGTAGGGGTGTAACCCCAGTGTCCTGGCCAAATTGCCGCCACTGGCCCTTGTCTATCATGGCCTCCTAATAATCCCCATCCACTTGATTGGCTCTATGACTCTCTCTCGCACTGAGTGCACTGGCGCCGTTGTCCTATGGCTGCTGTCTCATCATCCAGGTGGATGCTGCACACTAGTGGTGGTTGAGGAGAGACCCCCCAACATGATTGTAAAGCGCTTTGGGTGTACAGCAATACACAATAAAGCGCTACATAAATGCATCATTCATTCATTCATTCATAATGTGAATTGTGTGTAAATGAAATGTAGCAAAAGGTGAAGTGTTGTACACCAGGTTTAACACAGGTTTCCCAAACACTGGCGATGTTTTATAGTGCCACAGAGTCACTTGTTTACACTTTCCAGGGCACTTAACCTATGATAATCATAACTTTATATAGATAATTTATTTGCTTATTTTAGCTAAGCATGTTTTACTTACTGTGTACACAGTTTCCATTTTTTTGGTGACTGCAAAAATGGGTTGTATGTTTTGCTCCTCCAGCTTGCGAGCAATTTGTCCAACAGATGGGTAGTCCTGAAAACATAGAGTGTATTATAGTTTTGATATTTTCACATGATGTGTTATCAAGGTACTGATAGCATCTAATACATAAACCTTTTTGCATATGTACAACTTTGGAGACATACAAATGTTAAGAAATTCCTTGAGCCTTTAACATATTTAATTATAAATTACATAATTTATTTGTATGACCATGTAAATAATTCTAAAATTGTACTAATGCAAAAGGCTTTGTGTCTAAGATGCTGTCAGTATGTTAATATTTTATGTTTCAGGGTCTATCCAAATGTGCAAAAATGTACAGTTGAACTCGCCCTGGACCATAATGTAATAATAAACTATACTAGTACTAAACTATTATATTTTCTATAATAATATAGTAATTAAATATTTGTTATAATATAACAATTTGTATTTTATTTTTATATCTTCTGTTTTCATTTTAATTTTATTTATTTATTATCTTTAGTCATTCTGTTGTCATTTTTTCTTTCATTGTAGTTATTTTAGTACTTAAAATAAACAAAAATGAGAAATGTTGCCTTGGCAACTAGTTGGAATGAGATATATTATTATTATTATTATTATTATTATTATTATTATTACAATTAACAATACCTGACCTTTGACTTTCCTCGTTTAGCTCAAATGCTTTTAATATAAATATTCTAAACATTTGATATTTAACATATGAATATAAAGTATTAAATCATACCCAGAGGTTGCTCTTGCTGTACTTGTTGTTGACCAGCTCACAGGTTTCTTGGTTTGGATCCAGAATGGCAGCAAGTTTTCCATCCCCTGCCATGTGGAAGCCGTCATCAGTGGCCAACACCAGCAGTCGAGTGCTGTTTCCCCAGCCGATATCCTTCTGCATGGGTAACACATGAGAGGGGTGGGATAAACCTTTTCTAATCCGTTTGATAGGACATGTAAACACTTGAGTGGATTGAAAACTGAAACTGGAAAATTTTGCACGTGCAATGACGTAAAAATGGCATAATGACGCATGGAACAAGCCGATGTTGTTGTTATTGCTGAATATAATAAATGACTTTTGTGTCGATTTAAAATTCACCTTCCAATCATCGTCTGTGAAGTGGTGCAGGATAACGTTGTGCCACAAGTGCTTGCTTTGAACTCTCATCTACAGACGTCTTGTTTTGGGCGCGGGAATTACCTTTTTAATGGTTTGATTAATATAAGCATCATTGCACAAAGCTTCAAGTGCTTGTTGTCTCCTAATTAGGACCCAAAATAGCTAGGCCTAAATATTAAGTCTGCTTTTTTAAACAAAGAAAAGGAGGATGGTTACTATGTAAAAACAGTGGGAAACTCTGCATATTCGTGCAGTGTACGCATGTCAGAAGATTAAATACGATTGGAATCTTGTGACATATAAATGCGCACATCAACACAATCACTTTATTTAGCATTCATGTAAACACTATGTTCGGATTCATCATTCGGAATGATTTCATTCCAATTGAAACAAAAAGTGTCCATGTAAACGTGGCTATAGTATGGCTGATGTAATCTGTTAATATGGCTGGCAAAATAAATTTCTGCAAGTTATCCATGTAGTGTGAAACATCTTAGTCTCACCATGCAGACTGCGACTTGCATGATGGCATCCAGGCTTCCCTCTGGGGGGTCCAGGTTTCCAGATATATGCTGCCGGGCTACCATATCTCTGAACCTGTTCCCATCTTTTGTCAGTGAAAGCACATGCTGAAAGCCAAATGCTGGCTGACATGGTTCATTTTTATCCGAGCACGGCCGTTGGAGCTTCGCTTCATTGGTGTCGGTGTATGGAAGAAGTGTTTTGTCGACAAACGAACCGAAGCCTGCATCAGGAAAGTTGGTTCATGAAGCCATTGCCATAACCTTTGAACTCTGAAATATGAATAATATTATATGTTTATGTTAATATATTTGAATACTCTTACCTATCCTGGCATTGCCAGTGATTTTAGTGAGCTCAGTAAGTAAATTATTTCCCAGTTGTTTCACATTCGCCAAATCATCTTTCATGGAGTATGAGAGATCCATTAGGTAGTAGAGATCCACTGGATAGCCTTCTGCCCTTTTAAAATGTAGTTGAAAAGTTTGGGGCAACCCTGAGGAAACATATTCAGTCACCTCTGTTCTCTGAAAGTCAGGCTCAAACTTACATTGAAAAAGAAAGTTGTTTTGGTTGAGCTATACAGTAGATTTGTAAGAATGTAACATACCTGGTCTAAGATTAAGCTGTATTTCTTGTGGTTGGATTTGCACTGGATTTGCACCAGCAGCCAGGGGCTTGTTTGAAGTTTTTGTAAAATTGTTTTTAGGATTTATTATGCCATCGGATGAACATCCTTTATTTCTAAGCGAAGCAGCTGTGTCACAACGTACTGCTTCCTGCTCCCCAGTCTTGGTGAAATTCTGTGGTTTAAATAGGACAGAGAGCATGATGTGAAGGAGATGCAATGTGCCAGTCATTATATTTTTCTTTACTTGAAAAAGCCGTTGAGAATTGAACAAACCAACATTGGATATTCCAGTTTGACACTGGAATGTTAGAAATCAAATAGTTGACATTGAATAGTAAAACTTGCACGCTCCAAATAAATTGTCTTGCAGCAATGACACTTTGAGAGTTCTTTTTTTTTCAATCAATAAAATTGCATTTAAAAGGTATTAGTTGACATTATGAGTGCTAGTGAAACAGTATTGATCGCTGGAGTTGGAAGCACTTAAGTAGCAAGCAAGATATTCATGAGCGTAACTTTGTTTTTATCTATGAAATTACCATCAGTTATTACTTTTGAATTGTTGTTCCATATTTATGATTTTTTTACTATGCTAGTGTTATATTTTCTGAAAAACATGCACCTAAACAGCATGTACAAAACAAACTGGCCACTTTAAATATCATCTAAATGAATGGTTCTTAGTCAGAATAAGCTGCAAAGTGGACCAGAATTTATGCTGCATGTCAAATTCTGGTTACGTGATAGACTAGGGATTGAAATTGTCTATACTACTTTATATTATATTAGCATGGACTAAGTTCAGGCAGTCAAATATTTTCTGAAGGCTAATTAAATGGTGTTTCACAGGTTCCCCACCACTGAAAATTGATTTCACTGATATTAACAATAGAGCCATTAAGAAGCACTTACCAAATCGTTACACCATGCACAGCCGGGCCCGGACTTGATGCAGTCTCCACACGTGTTTACTGAAGCTTTTAAACATTGTTCCTCTGTGTAGACTTCAACAAACAGTTTAAACTTCAGTTATATCTTGAAACCATCTATTTTGTTTGCATGATTCAACATTCTGGATATTTGCATGACTCAACATTCTGGATATTTGCTTGGATATTTGTTATGATTAATGTAGTTAAAAGACATGAATACAAAATGCATTTATCTGTGAGCCTCAGACTTTGTTCCAAAACCTAGTGTGTTCTATTTCAATATATGTTCAAATGTTCTCTTTCTATGCCAAATCTGTCACTCTGGGATTCAATTTCAGTTAGAACCACTAGATTTTGGAACAAAGCAAATATTCTTCAAATAAGACTGAAATGTGACTTCAAATGAAACTGGTTTCTGATTGGCTTCCAATTCACCATAACATCAGATGCCTTTTTATTTTTTTGAACAAACTGCATGCACAGGATTTGGAGGATATCATAGGCAGCAAAGGAGATTATTACCACCTCTGCACATGCAGTATTTTTCAGGTTTTGGACACAGTGTACAGTGAACATAAGCTAATTTCTTTGTAAGTTGCTTTGAATAAAAGCATCTGCTAAATGACTAAATGTAATCTAAATGTAAATGTAAACATAATGCAAGGTGTATGCAATGCACGTACCCTGTCTTCCCACCAACAACAGGAGTAGGCCCCTCAGACACACTTCATGAAGCATTTTCTAGTGTAAAACAGCATTCTTTAATATCATAGTTCCTCATATTTCAGCTTCCTAAACTATTGAAAATGACAGGAAATTAGCTTGCCATTGCAGTTTAGTAATGCAAACAAACCTTTCCTACCCTTGTGAAAAAGAAGTGTGCTTAATTGTATTAAAAATGTACTTTTTGTGTAATTCAAATCTTAAAAGTATACTTTTTAAAAAGTGCACTTGCAGATAATATAATATAATTATAATTAAAGGCCACTTAAGTGTACTTAAAGAGAATACACTTTAAAGACAATATTTCTTAACACTCTTAAGTGCACTTTTTAAAAATGCACTTTATAATAATGTGTAATTAAGTTTCACTTAAACATACATTTGACATAATTATGATTTTATAGTGTTTTAAATAAGTACACGTTTTTTTAGTATATATTGATATATTGACCAATATACTAAAGCACATGTAAAATAATTGATTTTAATTTAAACTTGTGTGTGTTGTCCAAAATTACATTTCTTAATGTATTTTAAATGTATTTAGTCTATATTATATACTGTGTGCATTAATGCACTTGAAATGCATTTTCTTCTAAACTTCAATACACTTTCTTATACAGTATACTCCAGTAAAACTTATTGCTGAAGTTTTCATCACCAGCTCCTGCTCTATGAACTCAACTACAAGTTTAATTTTCTACATAATATTTGACATAAAGTGTCATTTATGAGAGGAGTACTGTATTTGTATGTAATAGCCTAGTACTGTACTGTACTTTATCTGTGTACAGAATACTTTCAATATCATTATGTTGTTCTAAGTCGCATAAACACACATTTAATTGGGGAGCGCGGGGCACAAAGTAACGCGGGGTTAGTTGTAACACACATGGTTTGAATATTTCCACACATGCTAGCATAACAAAATTTACAGTATTTATTAGTTACCATATCAACATTATATAGGGGAAAAAAGTGCGCCAAACTTTAAAAATCTTTTGAAGATATCGCTGAACATTTATTTTACCAGAGTAAAATTAAAATTCTGGCTTAAATTTTTCATCTCAGTTTTTATTATTCATTTAAAATGAGACAAATCTGCATTAATTGCAAGCAAAAGATTAACAAATCAAAAAAAAAAATCATCTGCATTCAAATACATTTAATTTTAATTAACTAGTACACTGTAAAAATTTACTTTTAGTTAGGTGAACTTTCTTTATTGTTAATATAAGCTTTCTTTATTGTTAATTTAGGCTTGCGATTCGTGCGGTTTTCACCGTAACCCGGCAGCTCTTTTTGCAGTTCAGAGTGTATTTAAAGGGGTCATATGATGCGATATCAATTTTTCCTTTCTCTTTGGAGTGTTACAGCTCATCGCTCCGGCCGGGACATGGCATCAACAGTATGTGAGGGGCATAACATTTCCGTCTCACGCTTGAGGTATTCGGCCAATCATAACGCACTGGATAGCTGGCCAATCACAGCACACCTCGCTTTTCAGACCGATGAGCTTTGTAAAAATCGACGCGTTTCAAAAAGGCGGGGCATAGAGGAGAAACAATAATGTACAGTATGTGGAAAATAATGTGTTTTTTTTTTACTTTAAACCGCATAAACACATTTCATTACACCAAATACACAAAATAATGTTATTTTTAGCAGCATCATATGACCCCTTTAACTTTGGACGTGTCAGAGGTAGTGATGGGCAAATGAAGCCTCGTGAAGCACTGAGGCTTTCCTCTGACTGTTTCGGGAAAAGATTCAAGCTTCGAGAGTGTCGAAAACAGCGCCATCTGGTGGTTGGTAAAAAATAAATCAGCCAAAAACCTGTGAAAGACGGGAACCGCGGGACCCGACCAGATTTTTTGCACCGTTTGGTAACTGGTGTAATTTGAACGGGAGTGGGCGTTCTAACAATATCTCGTTCCCGACGTCCATTCAGAACAGCATATCTGCGCTTTATTGACCAACATTACTGCCTGCAATCGGACTGTTATGCACGCATGCTTTCTGCGTCACGTTTTATTTGCAGGGTCTGTGCGCAGTATGTGCATAACCATGCTCAGAGCAGGCTGTACCGGTGGTAAATATATGGCCCTCAGACATAACAGGTTGTCGATGAGTGACAGAGCGGAAAGTAGCGGAAATTAAAATGTGAGATTCTGGAAACGAGATCTAAATTTAGCGGGAATGGTCAGGTCGGGAAGAAAATTGTTAAAAAAATAGTCCCACGCAGACCTCTACTCCGTAGGACGAAGCATCCACTACACATTCCATAGACTGATTCAAGTTACGTGCACAAATAAAAGCCTAACGATGTGTGTGTTTGTTTTTGTTGAATTTCTGTCTCTGATAAATTAATTTACCCATTAAACTGTGCAATTTAATACTACGAATATCAATATGATGTAATAGAAGAATAACGTACACAAATGAATTTAATATGACAAATATTTAATTTACCTGAAATAATTGTTATTTTTCATATTACTTGACTGGCTATCTAAAATGTAACTGAATAAGTCCGAATTAAAACTTATTCGTAAAGTAAGATCTGGGGGATCGAACATTTCGACAAGCAAAGTGAATCGCGCACGTGACTGGACAGAAAGTGAAGCTTCCTTTGACATTGGTCAAGTGATTTCTATGTTAACAGGTGCGTTCGACTTGAACCACGCTACAGACGGCAGTCAACGAGAGCAGCCGCTTGCAGTCGGGGGCAGAGCTGAAAACGGAGCCGTCAAGCCGGACACTTTCTGCTCCCGTTAGTGACGCTCACGTGGTGTTTGCATACTCTATCACAGATGAAGTGAATTAAATGCAATATTTGTCAAATATACAGAT